GCGGGGCGCTCCTGGCGACGCACGCCGCGGCGGGCCTCGCGGCGGGCCACTCCCAGTCGGGAGTGCGCCTGCTGCGGGCCGCCGAGGGCCTGCTGCGCGCGGCGGTGGCGAGCTTTCGGGCTCCCGCCACACCGCCGCCCGCGCCCGCGCCTGGCGCTGCTGCTGCCCCTGGGAGGCGGCGACGGCGACGGGGGCGTGGTGGTCGTGGCGGCGGCGCTGCGGGCTGCGGCGGGGCCGCGGCCGACGCTGCTCGCGCCGACGGCGGCGAGACGCGCGGTGACGCCGAGATGGACGGCGCCGTGGGGGGTGGTCGCAGGCCGCGGCGGCAGCGCCGCCCGCAGCCTGCCCCCATGGGCCTCCGTCTCCTGGAGGTCGCTGCTGCGCCCGCTGCAGAGCCGGCCGAGATGCAGGAGGAGCTGGACGACGAGTGGGCGGACGGGCTGGTGGCGGGCCGCGGCCCCAGCGTGGCCCCGCCCGCTCCTCGACGGCAGATCCGCAGGACCGACACCGACGCGGTCGAGGTCTGGGGCGCGACGGCGGCGGCGCGCGCGACGCCTGCTCTGGGAGCAGGCGGCGCCGCGGTCGCGGCCGAGTGCAGGGACACCTTCGCGGCGGACCTGCAGGCGCTCCAGGGCAACCTCGACCGCCTCGCTGCGGCCGGGCGGCTGCCTCCCTCAACAGCATGGGTAAGTCCGTCTCGGAGGTCGGCTTCCTCACGGTCGGGGGCCTTGCCTTCGGGCGGGCCCCCGTGGCCAGGGGTCCTGACCATGCGATGCAGGACCCCTGAAGACGCGCGGCCGCGGCCGCGCGGCTCGGCTGAGCGAACCTTCGCCGTCGGCCTCGCGCTCTCTCCTCCTCCTCCTCCTCCTCCTACTCCTCCTCCTCATCCTCCTCCTCCTGCTCCTCCTCCTCCTCCTCCTCCTCCTCCTCCTCCTCCTCCTCAGGGTTGATTGGGGAGGACACGCGAGAGGACACGAGACCCTTCCGAGGGCCACACTGCCGCTGGAATGCAGCAGGCGGCCCGCAGACACACAGGACACAAAGGGTACCCTTGATTTGGCAGGGTCGACCTACTAATCAGCTTCGACTGTAAAGGAGGTGCCCAGCGCGAGCCCCGTTTTGAAAAGGAGCCACCCTACTGCAGGCAAGTCTGAAGCGAAGACTCCATTTGAAAAGGAGCCGCCCTCTGTTTGCGTAGCAGCTGCGTAACTTTCCGTTCCTGGTCAGACTTCCCTGACTCCGGATCCGCCCTACTTTGGGGAAACTCGTAAGTAGGGCTTGGAATTTCCGCCTTACTTTTCAAGCCCCGCTGATGCCAATTTCCGCCCTACTTTTCTGTTGTTGTTTCCGCCCTATTTCTGTGGATGTTCGCCCCATTTTATGTTGGGTGCAGAAATGTCCGCCCTACTTTTTCGGCTCCTTATAGGTGGATTTCCGACGCAAATTTAAGTTGGGAAAAAAGCCAAAGTAGGGCGGATCTGGAGTCAGGGTTACACAGAAGCTCGCAGGCGGGAACCCCATTTGGAAACAGGACCGCCCTTCATGCCTGTAATTGCTGGACGCTTATCCAAACAACGATTGCACCACGGGCTCTTCTCATCGGAATAACTGGCATACTTTCGGCGACTCCACAAGGTGTGTTCTGCAAATGGTGCGGTTTGCAACCGACACCCGTGGTGCACCCCGGGGGGCGGGCTGGGACCTCGATAGAGTCATCCGCCGCGCCCCGAGGAGGCCCGACGAGGACAGCGTCGTGCACCCCAGGCCCCAACGGTACCTTTGGTTTGGCGGCGAGCCCGGGGGGAAGTGAGAAGGGGCGGGCCTTCCCAGAAGGCTGGGAAGTCCCCCAGCCTTCTGAGAAGTGTGCTAAGAATTCCCCTAAGACAGAAAAAGCTTCCAAGAAGGCGCGAGGGCCTCTGAGAAATCCCGCCGCCTTCTGAGAATGCCTTCTCTGTCTCATTTCCCACCCCCGCTCGCCGCCGACCGTGGGCGCCTCTCGTGGGCGCCTCGTGCGCTGGAAGGGGGCCCACAGAGGACGTAGACGCCCAGCGAACGCACCTCTGGAGCTGCACCGCAGAAGCTGCACCGCATGGATTGCACCGCATGGCTTGCACCGCCCGTTTTGCACGAGGCAGCATGCAACGCATAGCTTGAATCACATTGCTTGCACCACGCATGTTACCCCATATAGTGCTGCACCGTACTAATTGCACGCCTTAGATCGCAACACATTTGATGCACCTCGCACATTACACCTCTTAGGTTGCACCATCCATCCTCCACAATACATAACAAGTGTCATACATTGCACCACGAATGTCACACATCCAGAGCTAGAGTTCAAGCTGGCAGACAGTTTGAAAGGAACCTGCGCAGCGTGACAGCGAGTCCACCATCTAAGAGGAAATCGCCCTGCACCCGTGTGGCTGCTGGAAACTGCCAGAGACGAACCTGCGCAACGCTAAGGCCACAGCCACGTGCTGGAGATGACTCCTCCATCCTCACAGCGGCGGCGGATGTCTTAAGACGACTGCTCGGGGCACCTTGGGGAGCGTCACATTGTGAATGTAAGTCGCCCTCGATCACTATAGCTACTCAGCTGGTGCGCGAGGCGCTGAGGCACAGTGCCAATTTCGCAGAAGAGCCACCCTCCATCCTTGTATACAGGAGGGGCCCGACCACAAGAAACCTTCCACAAGAAACCAAACCCCAAGACCCCAGGAGGTCCATCGACTTTTGGTGTGGGAACGTCACGCTGTCCATCGCCAAACCCTCGAAACCCAAGAAACCCAAGGCACCCTGGCGGCAAGCAGGGTGTTTCTTGGCATGGGTCTCCACTGCATGTTGGATGCTTCAAGATTCTGGATCATACACGGTGGAGGTGCATCAGACGAAAAACGCCCAGACCTCCCCACATACCGGCACGTGGCATGATGCGAGGGGTCCCTTCGTGAGGATAAGGGACGGAAGGGGGGTAGGCTCAGTTCGGGCATGTCCTCCTACAGGCGGATTTCCGGATAACAATTGAAAAAGGGAGAAAACAAAAAACATACTCAACAACAATTAATTCATCCCAAAGCATAGAAAAATAGTCGCCGGATGATTTTGCTATATGTATGAATATATGTATATGTATATATCTATATGTATATGTGTATACGTATATCTATATGTTATTATTATTATGTTTTTGCTACCTGGACCCCCCCCTAAACCGGACCCCCGCCCAGGGACGCTCCGGACGCCCTTTCGGACGTTTCGGCGGCCCCCTGGACGCCCTTGGAAAAAGGTTCGGTGGCCCTTCCGGGGCCTCCCAGGGCGCCTCGCCGGGCCTCGCGCGCCACCTGGCTGCGATCAGAGGGGTCGCCGGAGAGGCGCAGGCGAGACCCAAGACAGCGCAGGAGCGCTCCAAGAGGAACCTCGATGGTCTGACGACGGCCCAAGAGGCCCCCAAGACTCCCCAAGAGGCCGTTACGAGAGCCCCGAAGAAGCCACAATCGTCACATTCCTTAAAGAAATACCCTTGTTTTGCATATCCGCTGTTGGGGTCTTCGCAGCGTCCAAGACGGCCCAATGGGCCCCCGATCTCGCCCCAAGAGGCCCCCTAGAGGGTTTGAAGACGGCCCAAGAGGGCCCCAAGGCCCCAGAGAGCCCCGAGACTGCCCACAAGAAGCCCAAGATGCCCCCAGAGGGCTCCCAAGAGAGACCCACAGAAGCCATGGGATACCTCCAAAAAGGCCACTGGAGGCCCGCGGGCCCTAGATGGCTTCAGAAGACCTCTGGAGGGCCCCAGCTCCCCAAGACGGCCAAAGAAGCTCCCAGGGCGGCCCAAAAGAGCCCCCCAAACGACCTGACGGCGTTCTCCTACGAAATACATCAAGCTGACCCGACGATCTTGGCTCCACGCTTGAGGCTCGAGATTTCAGCCCCGATCGAGAGAGACAGGCAATGGATCTAGATTCGAAATTCGACGATCGACGATTTCCTGAGTGTCTGGAGCATTCCAGGCATTCAGGAAGCGACCCAAAATCTATGTGTCCGGAGCTACCGTGACTTCTTCGGCGTGTCATGGGAACGCTCCTTCCTTCCTCAAAGTACCTTCGCGCGTGACAAAAATCAGCATTACTTCACCATTCATGCGCACAAGCATGCAAGCGCATCGTCCGAACGCGGTGTCAGCAGGCACAAGGGATATCGGAAAAATGGGCGGGTCGCCCGTCCAGGCCTCGACGTCCTCCCTGCTGAAGCAAACGATGATTTATTGCTTTGCCAGGGAAGCGTCTGTCACAGGGCGCATGGCGCGAAGCGCCAATGCAATCTTGTGCACATGTGTGTGTACATATATATATATATATATGTATAAATGTCCAATGCACCCCCCCCCACATGAGATAAAAAAAAAACATATACATATATATCTCTATATATATATATATATATATATATATATATATATGTATTCCTGCTGCAGAGGGACATGAACGACTGAAGGGCAGACCCTGCTCTTTTGTCCGAGATCGGCGAGCCGCCCCGGCGCCCTTGCTCTAAGGTCGCCGCTCTGTCCGGGGTCCCCGCGAAGAGCGCGCGCGAGGACACGCGCCAGACAGCCCAGCGGGCAGAACGCAGACTGCCAGGCCACTGCGAGGCGGGGATTTATCCATATCCCCCGCCTGAGAACCGACGTCCTGGTGTCCCAGCGGGCGGTGGATATAGACTTATTTTGGCCCCTGGGGGCCCGAATATATCAATATCCACCGCCTTCCGAAACCCCTGAAAATTGACCTTCCAGGCGGTGGTCATGTATAAATTCCCGCCTCGGAGCCACGGCGTCGAGGGGGCGGGGAGTGGGAGGGAGCATGGGAACGGGGAGGCGGAGAAGGCGGCGGAGGAGGAGCGGGCCGTGCTGTCGGATCAGGGAGGAGACAGAAAAGAAGAGGAGTAGCAGGAGGCGGAGGAGGAGGAGGAGGAGAAGGAGGAGAGGGAGGAGGAAAAGAACCGACAGCAGGAAAAGCAGCGGGTGGAGCGGGGACTGCAGCAGCGGGGGCGGTGCCCAGCAGCAGATGCCCTGCCCTGCCCCGACGGGGCGCCGCCCACACGCCTGCATCGATCCTGGCCGGGCCCGCCCTGGGCCCTGCATCGGAGCGTGCGCCCCCCCCGGCCTGGCCAGGCCGGCGTTGTGCACCGATCCTGGGACCAGGCTCCGCCTGGCCACGGATCACTGCAAGTGTCAGGTCGGGCATGTCCTCCTGCGGGCGGCTCTCCGAGGAGAAATCCTGAAGCATCGCCAACACATAGATTCAAATACAGGCCAATACAAAGCCAGAGCACCGTCCCAAGACTATTTTTTGACCGTTTTTGAATACTCCTCCTGTAGAGGGAGGAGAAGGAGGAGGAGGAGCTGAAGGAAGAGGATGAGGAGGAGAAGGAGGAGGAGCTGGAGGACGAGGAGGGGGAGGAGGACGGGAAGGAGGAGAAGGAGGAGGAGAGGGAGGAAGAGCGGAGGAGGAGGAGGAGGAGGGGAGGGGGAGGAGGAGTGGGAGGAGGAGGAGGAGGAGGAGGAGAGGAGGAGGAGGAGAAGGAGCAGGAGGAGGAGGAGGAGCAGGAGCAGGAGGAGGAGGAGGAGGAGGAGGAGGAGGAGGACATGCCCGACTTCATGCAGGGGTCTGCGCGGCGCCCGCCGCTGGCCGCGAGGGGCCGCGGCCCCGCGGAGCGGACAGGGCCGGCGTGCGCCGCCCGCCCAGCAGGCGCGCCGGGCCTCCCCGAGGGGCCGGCGCCGGCCCTCCACGAGAGAGGCCGGCGCGGCGAGGCCTGCCCGGCAGCCGCCTGCGTGGCTTCGGCACGCGGGGGCGTGTCGGGATGCTGGCTTCTGGTCGGGTAGATCGCCCCAGACATATGATCGCGCCCCGTAGAAAAAGATCGGGGCGGCCAGGCCCGGAGGAACCCCGAAGGGCCCCCGAAGGAGGCTCCCAAAATACGGCCCTGGGATGGGCTCTGAAGCGCTGCCGAGAGGGTCCCGAGGACGCCAAAGGAGCCTCCAGTCTGCTCTCTGGAGGGGGGAACTGAGGACGAAGGAGAAAAATTGAGGGGGGACCGAAAGGGGGGGATAGCAAAGGGTAGGGTAGAGAATCAGCTCACGTAGCTGATTCTCCCGGCGCCTCCGGGCGCCGGGAGGCGCCCATGTATCGAGGCATGGGCCCAGCGGCGGGGCCGAAACCAGCTGCATGCAGCAGATTTCGTAACGTAACCCCCCTTTCCCTATCACCCCCTTTTGTTCGGCCCGAAAAAAAGAGGATGGGAAAGAGGCCCCCGCCGCACTGCAGCGTGCCTCAAAACCAGCCTCTCAATCCTGCCGCACTGCTGCGCTGCCGCGGCGGATAGGCGGGGTCTGCCGCAGGCGGCCGGGCAGAAGCGAAGCTGCTGCCCCGCGTCGTCCCCGCCCAGCTCGCCCACCGTCGGGGAGGAGGACGTCCTGCCCCCCCGGACAGCACCCGTCTGTCACTCCATGTCGGCGGCGAGCGAGAGGGGAAGAGAGAGAAGGGGAAGGCCTTCTCAGAAGGCTCGGAAGTCCCCTGGCCTCCTGAAGTTTTCTGAGCCGCCCCCGAAGACGCAGAGAAGCGCCCAGAAAGCGCGAAGGCTTCTGAGAAGTCCCGCTGCCTTTTGACAGGGCCTACCTGCTACTTCTCATTTCCTCCCCCTCGCTCGCCGCCGACTCTTCCTCAGGACTTGCAGCAGCCTCGACTGTGAGCGGCGGGTCGCGCCGGGCGGCAGACCTTGATGCCGCAGCTGTCGCTGACGCTGAGGTCGTACACGTTGCTCCGGACTTTGCCGAACACCGTCCGAGCCGTCTGGAGAAACGCCTCGTCCACGTTCAGGGACGTCTTCGCAGACGTCTGGTGGAACGCGATGCCGTGCTCTTTAGCGAACGCAGCGCCCTCCTCGAACGAGACCTCCCAAGGTTCCAGGTCGCACTTGTTCCCGACCAGCGTGATGGCAATGTGCTCGTTCGCGTACTGCTGCACCTCCTGAAACCAATTTCGAATGCGCTCGAACGTGGCACGCTTAGTGACGTCGTAGACTAATAGTGCTCCACACGCACCTCGATAATAAGATCTTGTGATAGAGCGGAACTCCTCCTGCCCAGCGGTGTCCCATGTCTGCAGCTTGATCTGTGTCTTGTCGATCGTTATGATTCGAGCGCCAAACTCGACTCCGATCGTACACTGTTTCGACTCATCAAACTTGTCCTCCACGAATCGGAACAGCAGGCACGACTTGCCGCAGCACGAGTCACCTATGATGATGAACTTGAAGCAGTAGTCATACGCCATGGCCATGGTGCATGGACGGAGCGCCCTCGCCACGCCAACGAATCCGATCCTCCCCCTTATCTCTCCTCCCTCGCGGGGGCCGAGGGAGGCAGAGTGAGGGGAGTTGGGGTGAAAGGGGGAAGGGGAGAAGCAGGTGAGGGCTTTCGGGGGGAGGGCTCGGACTTGCAAGCGCAGGGGAGGGCCTTCCGGCCAGGGAGCCCCCCCAGGAGGGGGGGGGGGCGGAGGCGCGCCCGCGAGCGCGCTCTCGAGCCGGGACGCCACGACGTCCTCCAAAGCCAGCTCCGCCTCCTCCTCCACCACCTCCTCTACCTCTTCTTCCTCCTTCTCCAATTCGTCCTCCTCATCATCCTCCTCCTCCTCCTTGTCCTCTTCCTCCTTCTCCGGATTGTCCGCCTGCTCCACCTTGTCTCGCCCTCCCCCATTGCCCTCCTCCCCCTCCCCCCACCTCGTCGTCCTCCTCCTCTTCCTCCTCATCTTGCTCATCATCTTCCTCCTCATTCGTCTCCTCCACCCTTCTTGCCCTTGTCTGCCTTCTCATCATGCTGCTGCTGGTCCTCCTCCTCCCTCCTCATCCTCGAAGGTTGCAACTTAATTATCCGATGTCATGCATCTTCCCCTCCTCCTCCTCCTCCTCCTCCTCCGCCTCTTCCTCCTTAACGAACTCACTGGCGCGCATTATCTGCGGTGGGCATGTAAACGGTTGCCTCACCCCAGGCAGCCAGCATGACAAATCCTGCGCGGGTGCGCTCAGACGCCCGGCAAAAATTGCGCAGCCTATCAGAAATCCTCAATGTACAAGCCGCCAGAGCAGGGAGGATCGAATAGCAGCAAAAGCGTATTGCAACGCGTGCACAACTGCAGCAAGGGAAGGAAGAGGGACGCGGACAGCACAAATGTGGGTGGAAGCAGTGGAACAGCAGCAGGGAGGAGGACAGGCGAGGGAGGAGGCGGCAAAGCAGAGGCCCGGGAACCAGGAGGGAGGGCCCCCTCTGTTCCTCTTCCTCTCTCTTTTTCCCTTTTTGTCCGTTCGGGGCACAGGTCGGCTGGTGGCGGAAGTGGTGTCCGCGTCACCCAACCCGCCCCTCTGAGGAGGAGGAGGAGGAGGAGGAGGAGGAGGAGGAGGAGGAGGAGGAAGAGGACGAGGACGAGGAGGAGGAGGAGGAGGAGGACGAGGAGGAGAGGAGGAGGAGAGGAGGAGGAGGAGGAGGAGGAGAGGAGGAGGAGGAGGCGGAGGAGGAGACGAGCGTAAGGGGGAAGAGGAGGGGGAGGAGGAGGAGGAGGAGGAGGAGGAGGAGGAGGAGACTGACTGACTGACTGACTGAATCTGCATGGATGCCGAGTCCAAATCCTTTCAAACTCACCTGCACCGCAGAGCCTGGTAAAAGATCGCTCTACCTTGAAGATAGGCAGTCCACCAGGGGGCCATTTAGCACTCACGGGAACGCAAGGCCACGTCAGCCCCACGAGTGTGCCGACTTGGCACTGTGGGGCAGACAAGGCACGGGGGTGTATATTAAATCATATGCGGCCCCTGGTGTCCTTCTGTAAAACTCTCCAGCGAAGTGCAGCTAAACGCTGCTCCCACGAGGTCTCTGAGAAGGGAGCGGGAGGAGGGGGAGGAGGCTCAAGAGGCGGGGAAGGAGGGAGGACAGGTCCCCTGCTAGACCTACTTTCAGAGAAACTGCTGCTACTGGCTGCTGGTATCTGACACGTGGCTGCTTGAATCAACATCGCTGCTACTGCTTGCCTCTGATGCTGTGCGCTAAACCCCCTACTGGAGCTTTCCCTGGCATGTGTGTCATCCCTGCCGCCCTCATTGCGAAAGAAAGTAGCCTGGAGATGGTGACGTGGATGTACTTCAGGTTGACGTCGAGCTCGAGCGGATGCGACTCTATGCCTCCTAGCTCCTGCTCCTCCGCCATCGTACGACCCACTGGCCAGTGACCCTCCACCGCGAAGTTGATCCTGCACAGCGGCTGGCTCCCCGTCTTGACGTGATAGTCGCTGACCCTGCACGAGTGCACGAAATCTTCCATGTCCGAGGGTTGCCCTTTGTCGACTGCCGCCTTGTGAAGCCTGCCTATTGCCACGCACAACACTTTGATTTCGTCTGGCTTTCCCTCGGTGTTGGTGTCCCTGAGGCACTCGAGAAGACTGGCGAAGGCGTGGAGGTGCGGACTGCCCAGCTGGTGCCCGCTTCCTTGCTGCTTGACCTGGGCGTCGTAGTTTGCGGTAGCCTTTTCATGTTCATAGGCACAGGATGGCCCGCTGGGGACCTGAAGCGGGCGTCGTTGGCCTCGCGTTCTCTCATCCGAGCCTCGAGCTGAAGAACAAATTTCTTCTCCAGGCTGCCCGTCTCCGACTTCACCTTCTTCGCTCTCTGATTCTCGCCCTCCGATGGCTCCTGGGCCTGCGCTGCCGCCAGCCACTTCGACATCTAGCGAAAGGATGCGCGCGTCAAGATACAGCGCCAAGTGTGCATCAACAAAATGTCGATCGAGTTGCTCTGGTGTTGGAGAAGAAAAGCTACAGAGGGTGCACTGCATTCACTTGTGCGCCACTTGCTCAGGATTTCTGGAACTCAAACCTGTCATGCATCGCTTATGCTTGAGTGCTGCTAGGTGCCACTACGCCGTCTCCCTGTCCGCGAATGCGCTTTGGCAGAGCAGGCAATAATTTGAAAGTGCAACGGCATGTGGCACTCTATTCGTCTTACACTTAGTTTCTAGCAAGGGGGTCTCTATCTGTTCCTAATCGTGCACATACACGGTTCATATGGGCAACTAAGGCCTTTTGAGAGATAAAGCTACCCCTACAAACTGGACGCTCAAACTCTACACATCCCCCCTCTGTCGGGGTGGCAGGTTGGGCAACTTCACACGGTCCTGGCCCAGGAGGAGGGATCGAGGCCGCAAGCTCCTTAGCCCTGAGCTGCGCGACATCGATTTTCAGGGAAACATCTCGGGCTTCACCCGAAAACATCTTTTAAAACTTGCCCTCAAGTTCTGATTCGAGCTCCTCCCCTTCCTCAATCTCAAAAAGCGCTTGCACATCAGCCCAGAACTGTTTGGTCCACGCATGGGCCGTGGGGAGGACCTCGCCATCACTCGAGACGTCAAAGTTCGCAGCCTCACACTGTGGCTGTCCGACAAGAGCTGCGATGACCTGACGATGATCACGCTGCTTCGCAGCAGTATCCTGCAGCCACTTCAGACGTCTGATCCTGAGCTCGACGAAAAGGCTGCCGAACTTCACCAGGCGCTGTACTTCAAGATTACTTGGTGCACGTACTTTGTGCTCAGAACGATGCGTGCGCTTCCCTTGTAGGACCACGCGTGCATATTTATAGATCTGCTGCTGCAGGGGCTCCAGTGATTGCCTGGTGATGGGCGTCTCAATGTTGAGAACGTAAGCTTCCAGCCCCGAAAGAGCCGCATTGATGACCAACCCCACAAACACAATACCCTTGAAACGCATACTCACTTGCGCGGTAGTCCAGAACGCCGGAGTCGAACATGTTTCTCAGCAGAAAACCCATCATTGTACTGCTGTTGCCCCCCGAGATATCGAGCCGCCGAAACTGTTTTGCCTTCAAGCCCCAAACGTTTCGAGTGACAAGCTCGATTGAACTTCGACGCTGTGGGGCCCGCTCCCTGGGCGAGGTTGAATTGTTTGCCCCGATTTTGTGCGCCTCCAGCCGCCTCAAGCCCGTGATCAAAAACTCGATTTTCCCATGAAGCAACTCTCTGGATGCGATACTGATCAGCTCCCATGGTTTTCCGAGCGACATCGTCGACGAAGGTGCTGGTGGCCAGGTCGACGGTCCTCTGGTCGTGGGTCGCCTGGATGGCATCTGGCACTGTCATGTGCAGGGCTCTCTGCCATGGATCTTGGTCAAGAAACGACATCATGGACTCGACGCCGTATCCGTACGTCTTCACAAACAGCTTGGAGGCAGCATGATCACCTGGAAGTACTCCCGACCCGTTTGCCATGTGTGCACTGGTATGTCCGTCCGCAATCAAACGTACTGTTGTAGATCTTCTGGAGAAAGAAATCCCCCTTGCCCTCCTGCACCAATTCCGGTACAGCACGCTCTACAATATCCTTGTGCACGCAGTAAAAGGCGTTGCTGGCGTCATGGTACCGCGTAATATGTGCCACTCCTGCTCTCCGAAACCTCGCTGATCCAAATTCTTGAACCAACGCTGCATCTTCTCGACGGCTGTGAGATATACCCCCATGAGCCCAATACTCGTAGTGATGATCCTTCTCCATCAGAGAACGATAGAATGATCTGCCAAGCCCACAGAAAACCATGATTGGTCTCTCCGCCGCCGTGCCCAGCTTGTCATTGTGTTTCGCAAGTCGACAGCGCACGGCCTGATGCCAAGCTGCGGGTGCTCTCTCGACCGTTCTGATACATCTGCAAAGCAAGTAAAGGGCCCGCTCAAACTCTGGCGCTTCAATCTGTTCATCCTCTGGCTGTAGTCCCAGCCCACCTCCACGTTGAGGTCGATAATACCAACTTGGCATTGCTAAAACTCTAAGTACGCCCCCTGGTGCCGACCAACTGGGCCGCGCTCTCCATGACGCCAGTCGCTTCGGGGATTTCCTGAGTCGCTCCACCATGAATAAAGCGTCCTCATGAATAGCTAAGTAGCCCAGCATCCCGTCGGTCTCGTTGGGATTGATCCATTCCAGATACGAAGGTTTGTGATGTGCACTGCGTGAAGCCTTCGTGAAACCCGATTCCACCGTAGGCTGCTCAAACGGTAATCCCCAGAATCCAGAACAAACTTCAGGATCTTCACATCGCTCTAGCTGTTGCGCTCGTGCCCCACCTTCTTCTCCTGCCAGCTGGAACTTGTCGATCCATTCTGCTGCCGATGCCCTTGAGGTGGGCACTCTGTTGTACCGTCGGCCTCGCGGCCCACGGCAAGTTCCAGCCAATAGTCTCGCTATCTTGTGGGCGTCGTAGAATCTCCTGGCATTCCACGCAACCCAAAGCCCCTCAATACGTTTTTCCATCAGGAATTGAATGAACTTCTTCTTAAACTTCTTCAACTGACGACTTAATCTGGCTACTTCGATATTGCATTCATCAGGGTACTGTGTCTCGTTCTCCTTAGCCTGACGTCTCGCCTTGAGTATTTTTTTCAGTTGCGAGCTTTGTCCCAATGTAGCCTCCCTTTTTTCTACGTACCCTGGAGACTCCTGCAATTGCTCTGCTGCGACCTCTTGTGCAATCTGCATGATGCCCGCGTTAAGTTGATCCACGTCTCCCGCCATCTCCCACTCTTCGAACTGCTGCTTGTGTTCCGGCAGCCGCTCTTCGACCTGTGCCGCGAAATGTCTTCTGCATGTGCCGTACAGCAGTACTGCGTTGCACGCTTCCTGACTGTACTTCAGCATCCTGGGCTTCGTCTGGTACTCGTACGTGTGCCACATAGCCGTGTAGAGTGGGAAGTGATCCTTTGGCGTATTACACCTGATGTGCTGTAATATCCTACCTTTGTTGACTGAGACGAAGCATTCTTCTACGTTTTGAATCATACTACGCGGGCGCGCCAGAACATTTATACGTCTCACAATTTTTGATGAGATGCCGTAGTATGTGGCGCCCGCGTCAAAGTACGTGTTGGCCAACGCCAGGTCATGCGCCTGCAACGTTGGCTTGATGCTGCGAAACTTGGGTCCCTCAGCGGCTGGCATGATCGTACCCGTGACTTGTGACGTCTCACCCAAGCCGCATTCTGAATTAAAATCCATTCCAATCAACGGGAGGCACCGTGCTGGAAGATAATTGAACTGGTCGTGCAGCCACTTCGTAAGCTCCGACGATATGGCCTTTTGCTCCGCCACCGCGCCTTTGCCCTTGCCTCTAGGCGGGTAGTACAGCGCAAACAACGCGAGGTCCTGGCGACCCCTTTGGTATCTGACCATGAGTGTTCTGCCCTGTAGCTTCTTCTGGCCCTCGACTATGCGCACGATGTGTGTCTCAACATATATGTCTGTGAAGCGCTACTGCCACACCACACGCATGATTACTGTCTCTGCCGTAACCCGTATGCACAACCTTGTGCTCTGCTGTAACCTGCCCCGACGGTTCCCCTCGACTCCTGACCGTCGTCCCCTGGAGGAATATGATGTCGACAGACTTGTACTCCTTCGAAATGTCGTTGAGCCTGAGCGGGGCGGCGAAAGTCAACGGGTTGTACACCGCCGTCCGCAAGCTCCGCCAACCGCCGCCGCTCCCATCCCTGGGCCCGCTCATTCTATCAAAACATGATGGCTGGAGGGGACCGATGGGGGTGCTGCCGCTGAATCTGCCTGATGTCGCTCGATCGAAAGGGGCAGCTGAGGAGGAGGAGGAGGAGGAGGAGGCGGAGGAGGAGGAGGACCCCTGCCTGCGAGAACAGCGAGGCGCTTCACCCGACGTTCGACGATGACGGCCGTGCCGCCCCGAGCTGCGAGGCACTCACCGCCAGCCCCCCCGGGCCCGGGGCCCGAGGGGAGAGGGCCGCGCAGGTGGTTTGGGCCTCGTTCAGCCGCCGGCCCCCGACCAGCCAGGCGCGCTGCTCCCCCCCTCTCCCTTTGCAGGGTGGGCCTCCCCCTCCTCCTCCTCCTCCTCCTCCTCCTCCCCTCCTCCACACTCCTCCTCCTCCTCCTCCTCCTCCTCCCCCCTCCTCCACTCCTCCTCCTCCTCCTCCTCCTCCCTCCTCCTGATCCTCCTCCCCCCCTCCACACTTTCCTCCCCTCCTCTCCTCCTCCAATTCCAAGTCCAATTCCTATTCCTATTCCTATTCCTATTCCTCCTATTCCTATTACTCCTCTTCCTCCTCCCCCCCCCCTCCCCCTCCTCCCCCTCCTCCTCCTCTCCTCCTCCTCCCTCCCCTCCTCCCTTCTCCTCCTCCTCCTCCTCCTCCTCCTCCTCCTCCTCCTCCTCCTCCTCCTCCTCCTCCTCCTCCTCTCGAACACATCTACAACTACACGCAGCAAAACTGCCCCTTGTTGCGGGGGCCAGGGGTGGCAATCACACTTAGATTTGGCGCGTCGGTCGGTCTGGGTGGACGGACAACGCCTCACGACCTACGATGGAAGGTGATGGTCGTGCCGACGACGTTGCGTGCCAAGCGTGGAAGCGATGACCATATTTCACGGCGAAGCTTGGCGGCAGCCGCAAGAAAAAAAACATAACACGAACAAGCGTTCCACCCTCGGACGGGAATTCGGGCGCGAAGAAGAACTCGAAAACGCGGGCGATCGGATCGCGAATTCGCTGCTGGGGCCCAGGCGGGGGAGGGAAGCGGGCTGCGCGAGGTCGAGGCCCCCAGGCATACGGCTGGCTTCGCTGAGCTACGGGATGTGGGATCTCGGTGGGAAGCGGCCCAAGGGGCGGGGCCTCGGCGATGGGCAGCGTGGGCGGCCGATGCTTCGCGAAAAGGGGACACGTACAGAACGGCACTTAGCGGCCAGGGCGCGGTACACGTTGAGAGCGTGAGTGGCGGCACCCGACATGCACCCCTCCCCGCTGGCTAGGTGTAACTCTATACGTGCTCCGTTTTGTGGGGATGTATCCAGCGAAACCAGCACGTACAGAACTACACCTAGTGCCTGGCTAAGTGTATTTTGAACGTGCTGGATGCCTCGCGCGGGGCCAGCACGCACAGACCGGCACCTAGCGAAAGGGGCGGGGTACAGGTCGGGTACGTCGTCGCGCCCCGCCCGCTGAGTCAGGAAGGCAAGGGCCGCTGAACCCCCTGCCAGCCTCCGGGCGGAGGTGTCTGAACGTCCCAGGGCAATCCGAAGGAACTCCAACTGCGGCCTCCGCCCACATCGCTCCCCGTATTAGAGTATATCGCCTGGTCACTATGTTCCCCATTCCCGCCCGCTGCTTTGCCCTCCCCCTCCCCCTTTCTTCCTCGACCTGCCGCCCTCCATTCCCCTGAGCCTTCCTTAATTGCCGCTGGCCCCTGCGTGGCGGCAAACGCCCGCGCCCCCCCGCAGCTGAAAGACTCACCTTGCGCTCATCCTCCAATCCACTCGTGAGGCGCAAGTCTTGATTCCAGACTGACATTGGCAAGCGACGCCGAGGCCCTGGCAAATCCAACAGGCGCGATCGGCCCCCTCGAATCGGGGGCGAACCAATACGTAAGACGATGTCGCAAAAGTAAATAGGAAGACGGAGCCGCGCAAGAAGCTAATGCACTCGCCCAAAGTGTAGTTCTGTGCCTGTCCGATCCTCCTCTTCCTCAATGTCCTCCTCCTCCCCCCCGCAGCTTCAGCAGTGGCTTCGGTTTCAGCTGTGGGTGCACCGTGAAGCGCCCGGGCCAGCTCGCCCGAGTCCTTGCTTGCGCTCGCACGCGTGCTTCCCCCCTCCCCCCCCAGGGAGACCGTGACCCTCGACCACATCAACCTCATACATGTGGAGGAGGAGGAGGAGGAAGAGGAGGGGGTGGGGGAGGAGGAGGGGGGGGAGGAGGAGGAGGAGGAGGAGGGAGGAGGAGGAGGAGGAGGAGGAGGAGAGAGGAGGGAGGAGGGAGGAGGAGGAGGAGGAGGAGGAGGAGGTGTTACGCGGTGTCCTTGTCGATGTGATGTCCTGGGACTGGGTGGCACTGCGTGCAAAATGCTTGCCGGCGCCCCCTCTCCAATGTCGGTCAGCGCGGGACTTCTGGGCGGCGCCCGCCCAGGCCGCGCATGGGCTCGGCTTCGGCATGGGAGGGGGGGCGACATTGGATAGGCGACAGGGGGGCGGCAATGTGAAGTGGCCCATGACCACGTTTGTTGGTTGATTCTGTCGAGGGTTGGAGGGCGGGAGTGATGTCATGATGCCATTGGCTCAGGATGCGCTGCAGGCTTGCTGGAGTTTTTGGTGAGCGGCCCGCGTCTCTGGAGCCCGCGCAGAGCAGGGAAAGCTGAAGTCCTGGAGCACGTTGTCATCATCAACACCACCACCACCATCACCACCATTACTAGCATCAGCATCAGCATCAGCATCAGCATCAGCATCAACATCATCATCATCATCATCATCATCATCATCATCATCATCATCATCATCATCATCATCATAAGCAGCAGCACCACCATCATCATCAGCATCATCACCAGCAGCATTATCGTCAGCATCGTCATAGGCATCATTGTCCCCATTATCAGCATCGGCATCAGCGCCAGAATCAGCATCAGCATAATACTCATCATCATCAGAATCATCATCGGCATCATCATCGTCATCATCATCAGCGTCAGCATCGTCGTCGTCATCGTCATCACCATCGCTATCACCATTTCAATCATAAGCATCGTCAGCATCAGCATCATCGTCAGCATCAGCATGACGACCAACATCCTGATCAGAATCATCATCACACTCATCAGCCTCGTCATTATAACCATCAACATCAACATGACCATCATCATCATCAGCATCATCATCATATCGTCATCATCAGCATCATCATCAACACCAGCATCATCATCAACATCATCATCAACATCATCATGTTCATCATCACCACCACCATCAACATCAACAGCATCGTCATATCCATCATCATTATCATCACAACCACAATCATCAACATCGTGATGATCATCATCATCAGCATCGTCATCGTCTTCATCATCATCATCATCACCATCATCATCATCAACCTCACCATCAGCATCATGATATTCAGCATCACCATCATCAGCATGATCATCACCATCATCGTGAACATGATCATAATCATAAGGATCATCAACAGCAACATCATGGCTACCATCACCATAACCATGCTAATCATTGTCGTCATCACCTTCATCAACATGGCTTACTGACGGCACCACCAAGCCGCCAGCCGAGCCAGGACTGGAGAAAGGCCGTGCCCGGCAAAGGCGGAGCCATGGCTCCGCGCAAGGGGGAACCAACACATGCCGGCAGAGTTCCTCCACTGGACCTCTCCGAGAGCGCGCCCTGACGAGGATCCTGGGACGAATCTTAGGAAACAACTCCTGGCAAGTCTCTGTATGAGAGAAGAAGGGTGATTCAACCCGATTTAAGGGCCATTGACGGGAATTAGGCCAGATCCAGCTTCGGATCAGGCCCGACCCAGCGGGACTGCACGAATTTAAGCGGGAGCACATCTCCAGGCCGAATTGGTTTCATCTTGCATGCAAAACGGATCCCATTGAATATCATGGCGTGTGTGCCAGAGTCTCGTGGTTGCCAGTCATCTTTATTTGGGATCCCACCTGTTGGCGTGGAAGCTTCGTGGATCCCACTGTCTGTCCCTGGAATCAATGTGATAATTGCTCACCAATGCCGTGGGCCCACGAGAAATGAGATCCACGGAGCTGTGGACCAGACGACCAACGCTATGATTCTATGGGAGAACGGTTTCCATGTCGGTCGGCAGGTCGGCAAATCGTCTTCGTCGGTCGGGCCGTCGGTCGGCTGGCCGGTCGGTCGGTCGGTCGGCGCGTCGGTCGGTCGATCGGTGTCGTCGGTGTCGTCGTCGTCGTCGTCGGCGTCGTCGGTCCGTCGTCGTCGTCGTCGTCGTCGTCGTCGTCGGTCGGTCGGTCGGTCGGTCCGTCGTCGTCGTCATATGCGGCCCAAGAGAAAAGATGTTCGCGAACGTACTGTAGTACGCCGGACAAGCCTGGTTCACGGATGCACCATCGCGAATGCTAAATTAAACATCCGAAGAATCGCACCCTAACAACGACGCCACGTTCTTCGCCACGGAGGCCCAAGATGGCACTGGCAGTGTACAACGACAACAAGCCCTGCTATAACACGTCTATGGGCTCACTTGTCGTCGGGTCTTGCGCTCCCTGCACTGCCCCTGGGAGGTAAGAAACTGCCGTGTGAGTTTCCAAAGGCTATAGCACAGACTGAGCTTCAGCTCTGCTGGGCGGGGTGCCGGGGTGGCTTTGCCGGGGAGGGGGGGGGGTCTATACCATTTCCGGGGGGGGCTCTTTCGGGCCCAGGAGAGCCCCAACACGGGCCAAGAGGACCCCAATGGGCTCCCAAGACGGCCCTCGGTGCCACGCCCTTCGGCCTCCATGCCGCCCAAGGGGCTTCCAAGACGCCAGAAAAATGTCCAAGAGGGCTGGCTGCCAAGAGGGTCCCAAGAGGCGAAAATTGCCCCACGTTCCTTCCAGAAAGCGTACATGTTCAGCATATTCGCCGTTTGGGCTCTCACAGCGTCGAGGACGGCCCAAGACGCCCTCATGATCGCTCCAAGACGGACCAAGAAGCCTCTAAGAGAGCTCAAATACGGCCCAAGAAGGCCCCAAAACGGCACAAGAAGCCCCAAAAACGGGCCAAGAGGGCCCCAGGACGGGACAAGAGGGGGCCCAGATGGGTAACAAACACAGAACTTCGAGCCTTCGACCCCAAGACGCCCCCACGAGGCTTCAAGAAGCCTCCCAGCAGTCCTTCAGAGGCCCCAAGAGGCCCCCAAGAAGCGCCCTAAAGGCCCCCCAGTAGGCCCTGGTCCTCCTTGACCTCGTCCTCCGTCTTTATCAAATCCTGCTTGCACGCCGACTGAAGCTCATCATCTTTAGTACGACGCCCACGTCCGTGGGCATGACGATCCTCCTCTCTTGTTCATCCAGAGCGCCCCGGATCGGCGGCACTGGCCGGAGGCCACAACAATACAGAACGAAACCCCACCATGGCACCCCAGAAGCCTGAGGGCACGAAGAGGGCTATAGGAACAACCACGGAATGACCCAACTGAGGAATAGCGAGCCCCCTCCGAACCCAGAGCGGTTCTTATTTCAGCTTCTTGTCTGTACCGCCGACATCGTCCGACGTGTCTGTTTCAATCCGCGGCCCCAGCCCCAGTGTCCGACCCCCCTCTTCCCCAGGGCCAGTTGTTCGTGCCGCCTCCGCTCTTGATGGACATGGGCCCTGATGCCGCCAGACAGCGCGCTCCACCACTCGCAGTGTGTAGCTATCGCAAACGGCCTGGATCCATGGCATCGACGCAACCAGGCTCCATTGCATCGAGCAGCACTTTTGTTGATGATTCTTTGCGAGTGGGCACTTTGCGAGCAATGGAACGCGATCGGTGAGTCGGGCCCCAGGGGCCGAAATCTCAACAAAAACGCCGGGCTGGGAAAAAATCAGACCGCCGGAGACCTCGGACTACTGCATGCCCTCCATCGCTCGGACGCCCATGTCCCGTGCATGCTCAGGTTCCGCGCGCGTGCGCTTCACACGGTGAGCGGCACTGCTCCTCGATGGTCCTTGCCGAGCAAAACGCACACGCCCGAGCGACGCCAAGGGACTTTATGCTCTCGGAAAGGCCCGGCGAGCCCCCACCCCCGGAGCGCTGGAGCGCCTGCACCCGGCCGGCAGCGGCGACGAAGGCGCCGCCCGGCTGCGAAGGGGCGCCCACGGGACACCCCATCAGAGGGGCGCAGGCGAGCGCCCGGAAGCCTCGACGACGACGACGACGACGACGACGACAAACGGCGGACGACGGACGGCGGACGACGGACGGCGGACGACGACTACGACGGCGGCGAACGGCGGCGACGCTCGATCCCGCGGACAGCCGCCGGGCGCGGGCGCCTCGGGCCGCTCGGCGGTCGGCTCCGCCGAGGCGGCGGGCTCCACCCAGGCCTCCAGGGACTCCAGGGCGCCGGCGGCCCCGGGCCTCTGCCGCGGAGGCGCGGCGCGGAAAGGCCGCGCCGCGACGGTGGGCGGCGCGCCTGGCGGCTCCGCCCTCCCCCTCCTCCCTCCCACTGCTCCTCCTCCTCCTCCTCCTCCTCCTCCTCCTTCTCCTCCTCCTCCTCCTCTCCTCCTCCTCCCTCCTCCTCCTCCTCCTCCTCCTCCTCCTCCTCCTCCTCCTCCTCCTCCTCCTCCTCCTCCTCTCCTCCTCCTCCCCTCCTCCTCCTCCTCCCTCCTCCTCCCTCCTCCTCCACCTCCTCCTCCTCCTCCTCCTCCTCCTCCTCCTACTCCTCCTCCTCCTCCTCCTCCTCCTCCTCCTCCTCCTCCTCCTCTCCTCCTCCTCCTCCTCCTCCTCCTCCTCCCTCCTCCTCCTCCTCCTCCTCCTCCTCCTCCTCCTCCTCCTCCTCCTCCTCCCCCCTCCTCTCCCCCCCCTCCTGAAGCACCGGGGCGCTGACGGCAACGGAGTCTTCAGACGCTGCCGCTTCCTCCGCCAGGGACGCCTGGTCGAGCCCCCTCTGGGGGAGTAGACCAAAACAAAACATTTGGGGCCGAGGCCCCGCAGTGCAGGAGGGAGGGGAGCCAGAGTGGGCATAACATCACATCATCTCATCTCAAAGCCTCAGGAGGAAGGAAAAGGAGGAGATGAAGTGGCAATGTGGCAGCGCGGGCAACGTGTGGCGCGGGTGGGGCCCCGTGGGGCCTTGCGTGGGTCCCCCCTCGTTCGGGTCGCGTGGCCTGGCTAGGCCACCGCCCTAGAGGGTGCCCGAGGGCCCACGCCCGTAGGGGTGCCCCAACTTTCAGAGGACGGGGGGAGGTGGCGAGGTGTAGCGGCAGGCGGCGGCAGGCTGTGCCAGGGTGGTGCTGCGTCAGGTGCTGCGGCAGGTGCTGCGGCAGGCAGGCTGTGCTGCTGCAGGCTGCTCAAAAGAAAGTGCGAGGTGCTGCGGCAGGCTGCACTAGGGAGGCGGGTGGCGGCGGTGAAAGTATAGTGAAGGACAGGGAGGTTGGAGAGGCTGAAAAAGCGGTGATTGAAACGGGGCAGGCTAGGGCAATGGAAGGTGGCGCGCGGTGACAGCCAACAACAGCAAGCATAATGAGGACGAGGAGGAAGATCCTGATGTGCAAGTGGCAAAATCGAGCGACAACATTCCATATCGCACAACATGGCGACAACGAAGTGTGGCTCGTTGTTCTGCCCCCTGCTGGCCGATGTTGCCTCCCACCTGGGCGGATGTAATGCTGCACGTGTTTCTCAAATCCGCGGGGGGTCCAGCAGGCACCTGCGGTCACCATGCAAACGCTTCACGCCTAGCGGTACGCTGGAGAGCAGCAGGCTCAGGAGGAGAAGGAAAGGCGGCACGACGAAGCAGGAGAGAGGACAAGGGAGAAGACGAAACTCAGCAGCTCAGCGCAGGTCGCAAGAGAGCCTGGCCAAAACGAGGGAAGCACGCCACAGACCGCGCTAGAGAGGACTGCCGGCGAGGGCGCCGCACAGACATGCAGACGTGGGGGGGGCAGAACTGGCGGACACCCTGGACAGACCGAGAGCTCGTCGCTGACACGGGTCCTCCTCGCGCGACACGCTGCAACCTCGTGCGCCCGAGCGCGGACTGCCCGCACAGAGCCGCGGAGGGCGGCCGGCACCTCCGTGGCCGAAAGCCTGCGGCGCCGTGCGCCTGTGCCTGCTGGAGAGCGCGGGAGCGCCACCGGTGCGGAGCGCGACGGCAGCTGCCTTGGCCTGCTCCGCCCCGCGCTGCTCCGGGAGGGCGTGCACGCGGGGGCAGCTGCCTGGAGCTCCGCCGACCCTGCCGGCGTGTGTGAGGGGCCTGTCTGTTTGAGTGGTCGTATCCGTCGTCGCCCTTTCCCTGCATCCTCCTCCCCAAGCCCGTCAGCGAGAGAAACACCTAGCAATGTCGCAATCGAGTCGAAGGGAAGCCCCTTCCCTTTGATCCCTCCCCCGTCGGGGGGTGGTCCCGAAGGGGGGGGGTCCCGGGCGAGGGCCCCGAGGGGGGTCCCGAGGGCGACTGGTCTTCCATGCGGCCCGTTGGTCTTTTGTGCGGCACGTTGGGTTCTTGCGCGGCCCGGCGCACGGCTGGGTTGGTCTTAATGCGGCCAGCGCTGACCCTTCAATTAAAAGTAATGTGTAAAGGTTTCCTTTCATAGCTCTGCAAGCCCTGGCAACCTTTAAGGGGTTTCCGTTCCCGCCAAGACAGAGGTGGCCGCACAAGGACCATCTGGAGGCGCGTTGGAAGCAATCTAGTAGTACGCTGTGTCCCTCAATAGTTTCCGGGCCCCGGACTACAGGTACCCCCCGGACTACAAGTACCCCTCCCCCGGACTACAGGTCCCCCCCCCTGGACTACAGGTACCCCCCCGGACTACAGGTACCCCCGCCCGGACTACAAGTACCCCCCCTGGACTACAGGTACTCCCCCCCGGACTACAAGTACCCCCCTAGCCCCCGGAACTACAAGCCCCCCCGCGTTCGCTACGTAGTCTCTGGAAGCCAAAGCGGCCCGCCAAGATGCGTCCGCACATTTTCACTTAGGCGTGATAAGAAATTCGCCATCGTTGGGCCAGCGGTCGGGGCTGAGCACTCTCGACGGACGATAGGGCACGGAAAACGAGAAGATAACGAGCAACGGAACGATATATCTACAAAGAAATAGAAAAATAAGCAGGGGAACGGACGAACAAAGAGAGAGAGAGATAGGAAGAGAAACACAACAGACACATAATGATTGTCGGAATGACGAGAAGAGACAAAAGGAAGGAGCATCAGTAGGGAAAACCACAAGTGCCCCCCACCCCCCCCCCCCCCGGATACAAGTACCCCCATGCGCGCCCCCCCGGACTACAGGTAACCCCCCCCGGACTACAGGTACCCCCCCTGGACTACAAGTACCACCCCCGGACTACAGGTACCCCCCCCCCGGACTACAAGTACCCCCCCCCGGACTATAGGTACCCCCCCCGGACTACAGGTACCCCCAAAACTATTGAGGGACACAGAGTACCTGCGCCAATCTTCAATGTAACATTCAAAAAAGCACTTTTTGAAGCTACGTGATAAGCCCAGCTGCATGTGCGATGGTGTGTGCAGCGCTGGAAAATGGTTCGGTAAACGGGCTCGAAACGATCGTCCTCCTGAACATCACGATCATCATCATATTCATCCTCATCCTCCTCCCCGTCATGATCATCCTCCCCTCGTCTTGCACTTGTCAACATGCGAAACCTCCCTTCGTCCCTCTTCCTTGTCGTCATCACCCTGGCCCTTCTCCTGGCTCCTCACTCTACCGTTTCCCATCCTCCTCCTCCTCCTCCTCCTCCCTCCTCCTCCTCCTCCTCCTCCGCCACCTCCTCCTCTTCCTCCTCCTCCTCCTCCTTGTAGTTCATTGTTAATCCTGTCCCTCCGCAGTATACTCCTCCTGCTGCATGCTCCTGCTGCCTCCCTTCCTGCTCGCGCCTCCTGTTGCCTACCTTTATGTTGGCTCCTCCTGCCGCATGAACCCCCTGCCTCCTCCTCCTCCTCCTCCCCGCCTCCACCTCATCCACACTACATCCTCCTGCCTCCTCTTGCTCCTCCTCCTCCTCCTCCTCCTCCTCCTCCTCCTCCTCCTCCTTCTCATCCTCCTCCTACTCCTCTCCTCGTCCTCATCCTGCCTCCGACTGCCTTTTCCTCCTCGTCGTCCACGTCCTTGCCCTCAGCTCAGTCCTCCTCCCCCTCCGCCTCCGCCTCCTCCTCCTCCTCCTCCTCCTCCTCCACCTCGTCATCATCAAGTATGTAACCATATTCATCGACACCGTAGCCGTCATCATCGCAATCTGAATCATACTCAGAATCATCATCATCATCATCATAATCATCATCATCATCATCATCATCATCATCATCATCATCAGCATCATCATCATCATCATCATCATCAGCATCATCATCATTATCATCATCATCAGCAGCATCATCGCCGTAGTCAACATCATCAGCAGCATCGTAACCACAACCATCGTCACTACCACCACAACCATCATCATTCTCACCATCATCATCATCAGCAGCACCATCAGCAGCATCATCACCAGCATCATCATCATCAGCAGCAGCATCATCACTATCAGCATTATCAACATCACCATCACCACCACCACCATCATCATTATCACCATCATCATCAGCATCGTAATCATCATCGTCGTCATCGGCATCGTCGTCGTCCTCCTAATCATCACTTTCAGTTTCAGCTTCAGCATCGGTACCATCAGCATCATCAGCATCAACATCATCAGCAGCAGCAGCAGCAGCAGGATCGCCATTCACACCAACATCATGCTTGCCCTCATCCTCCTGATCCTCCACCTCATCCTCCTCCGTCAGCAGAAAATCCTCCTGCTGCTGCGGATGGGGCGGCCGGTTTGCAAATCGCGTGACCGCTCGAGCAGGAGGAGGAGGAGGAGGAGGAGGAGGAGGAGGAGGAGGAGGAGGAGGAGGAGCAGGAGGGGGAGGGGGAGAAGGACAAGCTAGGTGCGCTCGCGTCATATCTGACGTCCTACCCCTCCCTCCCATCCCTTACCATGGCGCTGATTTTCTCTATCCGCGGACGCGTGTCGTAGCGGACCTGTGGCTCCGCGCGCGCGTGCGTAGTGGGTGGTGGTGCACGTGCGTGCGTGCGTGCGTGTGTGCGTGGTTGTGGTGGTGGTGGTGGTGGTGGTGGTGGTGGTGGTGGTGGTGGTGGTGGTGGTGGTGGTGGTGGTGGTGGGTGGTGGTGGTGGTGGTGGTGGTGGTGGTGGTGTGGGTGGTGGTGGTGCTGGTGGTGGTGGTGGTGCTGGTGGTGGTGGTGTTGGTACTGGGTGGTGGTGGGTGGTGGTGGTGGTGGTGGTGGTGGTGGTGGTGGTGGCGGTGCGGCGCGGTGGTGGCGGGCGGATGGGCGCGCGAGAAAAAGGCCCGCGCTGGGGGGAGAACGCCATCCTGAACGACGGAGGCCAAAC